TACTGAGTTTCTAATTGCTGCTTGTTGCATTGAAACCAGCTCAAGGGTTCCCTTTTAGGGTACATGGACGTTGTCATTTTGGGGTGCGAGTTTTATCCATTCCATGCTGCAGCAGCAATGTTTGCTCCAAGAGCTGCAGCATCCATTAGCAGCACCCTTTCCCCACCACAGCAAAGGTCTCACTGCCAAGCAAAAGCTGTGGCTAATTGACAACAGCTCCTAAACTGAGAGATAAAATAGTTGTGTCTGTCACTCACGTGAACAGCTGGCTTCAGCAGCCTGACTACTAAATAATGTAAAATGGTTCATTCTTCTGACTCAGGGAAGATCCTTTGAGAGGAATCAAAGTCTCTGGTGCTACAGAGCCATGCCCTGATCATTCCTGCATCTAAAAAATCTAACATTGCTCATAAAGTTCATAAATAACATAAACCTTGTTCCTCGCACTGCTCTCCCAATCAGAGCAACTGGATTTAAATCACCTGCTGGCAGGTTTATTGGAGTGCCCACAAGCAGATAAGGTCCTGTGCACCAGCCCTCTGCACTTAACAGAATATAAATCTCTGCTTTGCCATCTGTTTTTGAGATGCTCCCATACAAGCAAAATACAAAACAAAACAAAAAAAAAAGCTATCTGCACTTCCAGTATCCAGAAGGATTTTATTTCTTGGGTAATGAGGATGACATTTCTCCCATCTCTTGCAAAAATGCTTTTGCTCCCCAGACCATTTCCCCCAGAGCTCCCAGGGCAGGTGGGCAGCCACCCTCTCCCCGTGCTGGGGTCCCAGGGCGCATCATGCCGGGAAGATAAAAACATGCCCAGGGCACAGCAGCTCTCCAGTGCTGCTTGATGCTGGTACGGCAAGACAAGGAGCACTGGTTCCTGCCCAGTTCTAACCACTTCTTGAGATACCCCCTTGCTTAGCCCTAACGCGCACACACACAAAAAAAAAAGTCATGAAAAAAAAAAAAAAAAAAAAAAAAAAACAGTTCAAACGCTACCCTTCATTTTTCTCTCCTCGCCTGAAGTTGCAGGAGACCAGATAGGATGTAATCGCCACTTTTAAAATCATCTCCTATGGCAGTCACATTGATTAAGTGAGGAGGCTGGGCTGCATTGAAAGTTGAACAAACTTTTCTATGAAAGATGATGTTTACATTGCCTCTCAATAGCCCGCTGAAATATGCATCTCTAACGCCATTTCATCACCAAAATTTGGGAAGAAAGTGTTTAAAAAAAATAAAGGAAAAAATAAAATATGCTCGAATCTGGAGCACACCATAAATTCATGAAGCTTTCTGAATGCTGTCAGAAACAAAGCACGTTTATGTAAACAGAGAAAAGCTGAAAATGCACAGCAAGATAATTTCTCAACAGTGTGGAAGAAACATTAATATTGACACAGCACCCGAGTCTGCAGCCCAGGCAGCATCCCTCCGGGCAAGGTGCTGGGCACACAGGTAAGTGCCCCAGACCTCTATGGTAGGGAACAGGAGTACCCAGGACAAACCAGGCACGAGGCAATCCCTGCCCACCCCTGTAAGTTATCCAAGGCCTCTTTGCTCACAATTTCTGCCTGCCCATCCTCACATGGGAACAGCTTCCTCTGGAATGCCAGCTGGGAAGCTCCTGACAGCGTGCCATTTAAACACCTTTTACAACACCCAGAACGCTGTGTGGCTGCTCATGCTCCCAAGCCTCCATGGCACTCAATGCCAGCCATGTGGCGGCCGCAGCCAGGAACACGTCTCATTGCAGCCACGCAGTAAGTGCTAATGCTGAGCCAGCGAATCAAGTCACTGCCTGGCATTAACGGACATCAGTTACACCAACGGGGGAGGAGGGCGAGGGGGTCAAGTTTGGTGAATTCAACTCACAGAGCAGACTATTTATTTCCACAGGTTGACTCCTCATCCAGTGAGATGCTTCCCAGGGTTTTGGTTTGTTAGATTGCTGCCTACCACCTGCCCCAGCCACCCCTACCCCAGGTCCTCAGGGTGGCCACCAGCATAGGTCAGCGGGGCTTGCCTCGATGCTGCAGGTAGGCAGCAGCACCCTCCACCCAATATGCAGCAGGTGTCAGGAAAGCCATAACTAACGTGGAGAAGGGAGAGCAGTGCCACCTGCTCATGGTGTCCCACAGCACCAGAAGCAGCACGTGAAGTGACGGGCAAGCTGATAAAAGCCCCAAGAGCAGGTACGCAACACACTGTCTGCTGCGGACACCCAACATCTGCCTGGGCTCAGAGGGTAACTAAACATGCGATGGCAAACCCATCACAGCAATCAAGTGAACAGATGCCATCCCTGGCTCAGGAATGCATCCCTGATTTGGGAGTCCTTCCTGAGATGCAAACCATGCCAAGGTCTCGGTGCCCCCCACAGCCTACCTTGGGCTTGCACCTTCCTCCCCACGCTGAGCTGCTCCCAGCACGGGGATAATAGCGCTCGGAGCTCCCATCACTGCCAGTAATAAAATACAGCAAATTAATTGCACTCAAAACAATTGATTTGTTTTTTAATGTAACTATTTTGGCATCCAAACCCCAGGAGACTCTATTGATCAGCCAAAGAGCCAGGTATCAGCGAGTGGAGCTTTGCAACCAAGCCTGACAGACTGAAGAAAACAATCAAAAACCAACACGGTGAATGATGGGGACTTTCCTCTTTCAAACATACATAGGAGGCTGCAGCACCAACAACAGGGGATTATGAAGCATAAAAAGCTGTGCAGGGCAGGTCACGGCTGCCACCTGCTTTCCCAGGGAGTCCAATGCCGATCACAGCAGTGATGCACGAGACCACAGCAGCCTCACTGCCTTCAGAGGAGCTGCTCCAGATTTACACTGACGGAAAGTAAAATCAGAATATGTGAAATGTATTGCTGAAATAGACGCTGGAGCACTACAGAAATTGCAGACTCCTCCCCTGACCCCACTACCCCACCACATCACATCGGGTGGAACAGTCACTGGATGAAACACTGAAATCCGCACTGATGAGGAGAAAATAACCTACATTTTCAAGTTTGTACGATCACATTCTGCCAACCTACGGCACAGCCAATAGCACAGGTCTCTCATTTTCTGTTCCCGAAGCACCCCTGCACAAGGGGTGTTACGTAGAGCCTTGGGGGGGCACACGATGAAACAAGCGTATCACCTGTCCTCCTGCAGCCCCCCAGGGGTCAGAACACGACCCCCTACTTCCTTCTTATGCACACATCATGGTGGCTGCCACCGCCCAGCCTCACACACAGGCAAGCCACCCAGCTCGCCCCCCAGATGCCAACCCACGCAGCCCCAGAGGCAGCCCCACCGCCAGCTGGGAAGGCGGCCAGGAGCCCTGCCCAGCTGCCAGCAGCAAGCAGGGGCCTGCTGCCACCAAGGCGCATCCACAAAGCCAGCCCCAGGCTACCAAGTGCATGGCGCTCTCCCTCTCCTCGCAGGGGATTCCGGGACAGCGAGTGATCTCTTAATTGCGCCTTCAAAGAGCTGTTCTGGGGGTCTGATGGACGGGAGGTGGGAGCCACCTCCACGGAGCAGGGAAGGGAGAGAAGGCAAATAAATGGTGAAAATCGCAAGTGTCCAATGTGGCTGTCTGTGCGAGCGGGGAGCTTGGAGCTGGCAGCCCCACTCCGTGACGCAGGCAGGGGTCTCTGCAGCCACCTGGGTCATGACGCACTCCACTAACCCCAGTGTCTGGCAGGGACACTGCCTGGAGCATGCCATGGGTGGGAGCATAGCCCCAGGCCTCCCAAACCCCTTCTCCTGCTGCAACCCATGCTTGGGGAGGGACAGGACAGAGGCAGCAGCAGGACACGGGATGCCAGAGTCTGGCGAGGCAAAGCCCAGCGACAGTTTGGCAATGTGTAGCATGAGCTGCAAGCCTGTGGCATGCACGCTGATCACAGAGGCACTCAGAGAGCAGGGGAGAGGGATGGGCACGGCAGCAGGTTTGCAGCCACAAACTGTTCCAAAGTGGGTTTCCATATGTGTAAGCACTCGGAGCGCTGGAAGAATTACACCCACAGCCTGATCTCACCATGGTAGCTACCCACACAGGAGGAGAGGGGAATATCAGAGAAAAGATTATAATTAATGTGTCAAAGCAATAAAAAAAATAAAAAATGTATTTCTTTGCTTCTCTTAACTCCCTCCTCAACTAAAAGCAGAGGCTTCACCGAGCACAGGGTATCGCACTGCCCACACCAAGCCCCTGCCCTCATGCCTTGTGCCCCGCTTCCAGTTTCTACATGTGCCCTTGGTAGTGCTCCCCCATCGAGGGACAAGCAAGATGAGGACCCCTTTGTCCCCCATGCCTCGCAGGGGGATGCTTCTGCCCTCATACAGTGTCCCTGCAGAAACCCTTCCCCAAATTCTTCCTCCTTCCCCCTGCACCCTCACGAGGACCCCCAGCCGCCGCCAGCACCCCTCCCACGCCTCGCTTTTTTTTTTTTTGCTCCCCCCCCCCCAAAAAAAAAAAACCTTCGTTTTTCAGCGGATCCGTAAACCCACCACCAAGTTTCCCCAGCAGCCCAGGGCCAAATGCAAGCGGCGTCCCAAGCAGCAGCAGAGGCGAACGACTCGCTGAGCAACTCCAGCCCCGGTGCATCTTAATTAATTGGGCTTTAACAGCCGCTATTTATTACCGCCAACAGCCGCGGGCACAACGGTCCCTGCGGCGGCTTCCCCGGGTACCGTAGCCCCGGGACCCCCACCGCAGCCGAGCCGAACCGAACCTCGTCCCGTGTTCCCCCCCATCCCCAGGGCCTGATCCTGCCCCCGCCAGCCACGGAGCAGGTTTAAGGCTCCCGTTCCGCGAGCATAAATGTTATCCCCGGGGAAGGGGGGGGGGGGGGGGGGATAAAATTAAAAACAAAACAAAACAAAACAACACAGAGTTTTCGGGAAAAGAAATGGAGGGGGGTGGGGGGGGAAGAGGAAAAGAGGGGAAATAAAATAAAAAAGTGGAGGTTTCGGGAGCCGCGCGGGGTTACCTTGGCACAGGAGCAGCAGCGGCGCCAGGAGCAGCGCGGGGCCCCGGGAGAGCATCCTCTTTGTTCCATGCCCAGCAGTGGGCATGGTGCTACTGCTCTTCGGAGTGGGGCGGCTGGCGCCGGAGGGGGGGGGGCCGGGGGTGTCGCGGCGGAGCCCGGAACCACTCCCCCCTCTGCTGCCCTCGGCCGGGAGCCCCGTGGAGGTGCCGGGGCTGGAGAGATGGGGGTCCGGGGATGATGGGGGTGGGGGGGCCATGCGGGGACACCCCTCGCTCACGGTCGCCCCCGCAGCATCGCAGCCCCCCGCCCCGATCCCGCTGCCCGGGGGGCGGGCGCGGGGCTGTGCGGCTCAGCCTGGAGGGGGTTGGCTTTTGGGGGAGGGGGAGTAGGTTTTTGGGGAAGGAAGGGGAGTAGGAGGGGGGGGCTCCGGTGAGGCCGTCCCGAGCCCCCCCCCAGAAGTTTCTCCCCGCTCCCCCCGGGGGGTGCCCTGACCCGGGGCGCTGCAGCAGACTCGGGGGGTCTCGGCCGCCCCACTCCCGGCTCGGAGCGGCGGCGGCGAGGTGCGGAGCGGAGCGCAGGGAAGAGCGCGGCTCCCCCCTCGCGGCCGCGGCCGTCACTGCGCGGAACCGCCGGGCTGGCGGCGGGGGGTGCGCGGGTGGGAGCGGAGGGGGCAGGGTGCTCGGAGGGGGAGTGGGGGGGGGGGGGGCAGCTGTGTGCGAGGGACGTGCAAAGGGCCGTACAGAGCACGTTGCAAAGGGGCTGGCAAAAGGTTTTGCAAAGAGCTGTGCAAAGCATGTTGCAAAGAGGCGTGCAAAGTACCATGCAAAGCATGTTGCGAGGGGCGTGCAAAGCCCCGTGCAAAGAGGGTTGCAAAGAGCCGTGCAAAGGGGTGTGCATGCAAGATTGCAAAGAAGTCTTGCAAAGGGAGTTGAATAGTATGTTGTAAAGGGCTTTGCAAAGGGGGTTGCACAGGAGGGTGCAAGTTCCAGCTGAATATGAGAGGGCACTTTTTTACTGTGAGGGTGGCAAAGCACTGGAACAGGTTGCCCAGAGAGGTTGTGGAGTCTCCTCTGGAGATACTCAAAACCTGCCTGGGTGCCATCCTGCACACCGTGCTCTGGGTGATCCTGCTTGGCAGGGAGTTAGACTGGGTAATGTCCAGGGGTCCCTTCCAACCTCGGCCATGCTGTGAGTTGGCAAAGGACATCCTAAAGGGCATGCAGCAGAAGCAAAGGGGTGTGCACAGGGCTGTGCGGGGCTGCAGCAGCAGGAGCTTTGCTCAGACACTGCCCTGCAGCAGCACAGACACTGGTGTACTGTGTTTCCACACCTCAGCCCCGATTGCCCTGAGTGGCACTTGAAGTACAAAGCCAAACACTGCTCGTCTTCCCTAGACCTCTCCCATTGAATACAAAAATAAACCACTGCCAGAATCAGTGTTTCAGTGAAAAGTAAACCCAGCTCTTTAAGAGATGGGAGTTGTTACTGTGATCACAATAGAAACAGCTAGGTAAAAAGGAGGGAATAACTAAAAAAAACCATCCCCTTGGGTTCTTCCAGTTCTGCAAACATGTCTCTGAGTTTGATTTTTCCCCTCCCTGCATAAACAAGCTTTTATGTAGTACTTGCTCTAATCTTGTTTGCTTCCATAACCACTCCTATGAATGTCATAAAAAATTTAAGTTGAATATTTTAGCACTCCACACAAATGGCGATGTGAACAAATGCTCACCTCCCATGCAGGGAAGTGAAAAACTGCACCCTGCACCCCTGGGCAGCCCCAGCTCTGTCTGGAGGAACTAGGCCCCTGTGGGTTTGGGGGGATGGGGCTAGAGCAAACCCAAAGATTTGATTTCCTCAGTGTAAAACCAGTCTAATGACAAAAAAAAAAAAAAAAAATAATAATAATAATAATCAAGATTGTCTTGCTGTCTCCTCTTGGCACTGCTGGGCACCATGGGGGTATCTTTGCAGGAAGTGTGCAAGGGGTGTAAAAAGGGTGTGCAACGGATGTCCCAGAGCCAGCCACAAGGTTTCCCCCCTGCTCCCTTGCATGTCTGGGATCAGGGGTGCCAGGCCCAGGAGAGCCACCAGCACCCAGGCCTAGCTGCATTGCTGAGCACGTCTTAAATATGATTTTATAGCCTGCATTTGAAAGAAAATCTAAAGTGAGAAATTTTGCAAACTGGGAAAGTGCTGACAAGGAGTGGATCCTGCTTACAGTGTCCAACAGCAGCCCGGAGCCTGCCAGGGCCACAATCTGGGGCTTGCACAGGCAGATCTCCAAATAACAATTTTCCTAAGGGAGGTTTTCTGTGAAGTTATGCTAGTAGGATGTTGATGCCCTTTCTTTGGGATGGATTTTGCCCACAGAGGCAACCTGTGGTACAATAGACTTGAGAGACTTTGCAGAATTACAGGAAGCTGTTGTTTGTAACATCATTCAGATGTCAGAAAAGGGAAGATTTCAGGAGCGCCCCTAGGTAAGCAGTGAGGATGAGAATTTTAAAGATGTCTCGATGTATGAGGAGGCAAAATCCCATCTGGGAGATAAGGAGAGGTAAGGATCTGATTCTTGCAGGTCTGAACTGTGCCGCAGCAAGGGGAGCAAAATCACACCAGGGCTGGATCAGCAGCATGGGGTGCTCGTCCCAGCTCTTCCTCCACTGTCACCCTATAATGATCCCTAAATGATATTTCGGAGCCCTGGGGGTGCAATGCTGCCTTTTAAAACTCCCCAGAGCTCCACATTGCCATGCTCCCCTGCAGCCAAGCTCATCAGATCAGCATTTACAGCACAAGCCTGCCAGACCTGAAAACACTTCGGTAAGTCAAAACAACAAGAATGACACATTAAATTTGTCCTAAAGCTGCTGTTTGGGGGGTGACTAAAGCAACTCTTGAATCCAGGTCAAACTCCACAAACAGGTTTGGCTGGGGGAAAAAATGGTAACATCTGAATATTTTTGGTGCTTTCGAAGGGAAATGTTTTGGCTTTGGATGTTGAGTGGTGTTTGTAAATCAACTTTAGCTGTTTGAGTACAAGGGAGGAGGTAAAGAGAGTAAAATATTGTCATCCCAGCTGGAGAAGCCAGGACCCACAGCACACCTTGAAATTGCAGGGGCTGCATTCCCCAAGGTGTCAGTGCCTCTGTAACATGAAAATCTGCTAGTGTACCTGGAAAAGGCACCTAACATGGGTCCCATCAGCTGCATGGTGTGGGCACCACAACCTGCTGTGAAACCGTCACTTCCTGGACCTACTTTGCAGATTTTTATGCTCTATCTAGACCAGGCAAGCCTAGAAGACATTGCAATCCCATTATTTAGGGCTTCTTTTAAGAAAACCCAGGCTCTGAACCACCTGCACCACAGTCTTGCGATGCTGCATAGCCAGCATGAGGCAGTAGGGAGCATGGCTCCCTGTGGCGGAGCACGTGCAGGGGTTATGACATGATGAATTGCCCTAATTTCTGTTCCCTCTGTTATATATGGAGTGGCAGTTTATGATCCTGAAACATGGGACCAAACTGATGTCAAGGTGTGGAATTCTGCAACTAAAAACGACAAGGTTGCAGTGGGATTCCTCAGCACCTGGCGAGCAGTCTCTGAGGCCTTAAAGAGCCGTGTGGGACCACAGTCACAAACGTGTGGTTTGCCAGACAGTGAGGGAGCCGCGGGCTCATCCACTGATCCTTCTGCTACACCATTGGCCCCTGCACTGCTACGGCCATCGAAAGCCTTTGTTGTTATGCCCCCTGCTGACCTGGACGTGCCTTTTGACCCAGGCCTATTGGTCTTGAAAACGAGATGGATATGCTTTTCTTCCATCCAGGAAGAACGCGATACATAAGGCCCAAAGACCGAGTTGCTTGACAACTTAAAGCGAGACACGTTGTTCAAAAGGAATGGAAAATGGAGACTGTTAAGTCATGGAATTTAAAGGATTGTTTGTTACCTTTCCTGATTGTACATATGTATAGGCATACTTGCATTTAGATGTAAAGCAATGTTCTATATACATGTATTTAGAATGTTTGATGTTCATGTGTGCGTGTTGGTGGAGGGTAGACTCCCCGCACACCCAGCGCTGTTTACTTGCCTTTTATACCTTTTATAAGTATAAATATTACTACATTCAATTGAGTTAAGGCTTCATTTATAACACCCCTTCTACCTGTTATTAATTAAATTGGCTTGAGACAGGGCTGAATAGGAGATTGACTGATTTCTCTCTGTGTAATTGAAAACAAACTGTGTGGTGGGGTGTGGTGCTGGGAAGAAATAAGGTGGCTGGCATTGCAGGCAGGTGGGGGCCCTGACTGCAGGGAGAGACAGCAAGGGGCAAGATGAGAGTAAGCCCCTAAAAGCCAGGGTTTTGCTCGCCTGCTGCTGCTAGACAGGGACCCAGCTCAGCACAAAGCAGAAAAAAGCAGCCTGCAACCTTCCCTTCCCATGCTTGCCCACCAAAAGGACCAAATTCCTGTTCAGGTGCTGCAAGCAGAAGAGCTGGAGCTTCCGAGAGCTGGTGCCACTGCCAGGGTGGGAAGGAGGAGAAAAGAAACAAAAGGAGTTAACCTTGGGTGACACCCACTGCTTCTCCCATCAGGAAGGCATTTTGCAGGGCACCAACACAGCTCCTCAGAAGAGCAGCCCTGGCTCCTGGATTTGGGGCAGAAAGGGCAGTTTTGGGAAAGGCCCAATCCAGTTCCCATTTCTTGAAGCACACACCTCAAATGGGGCTCACTGCTGTCGGGGCACATGGGTGGCTGTGCAGTTCGTGCTGACATCGGCTTGCAGCGCGCTTCTTCAGGCAGCGTACATTTTCCTGAGCATATGATCTCTTCCGTGAAAGCTGGCTTAATATCTTCAGGAAAACAACAGGAGCCCTAGGCCTCTTAGAAATTCATATTATAAAGCATCCTTTGATTATTCTTTCTTTATTTTTCCTAATTGCTGGTCATAAAACCCATTTTTAAGGAAATAATTGTGTACAGAAAAAAATCAGTTGTGTGCCACAGAGATGCTATTTGCATAATTACGAGGAGCCTGATTTTTATCTCTTAGCTTTGCCAAAATACAGAGAAATGATCTTCTCCCATGTCACAGATGAATCATTTTGTGATGTCCCTGAACCAATCAAAACACCCAGCCCCTTAATTCTGGTGAAACCAGGGTCTGAGGCACATTCACCTGGTAGCTTTTATTTACCGCTTGGGTACATGGCCAGGTTTCAAATACAGTTTGGGCACACAGCTGGGCACTGAGTTTTC